CCCCCCCCCCCCCCCACAGACTGCCTGGACATCCGGGCTGCACGCGCCCTGCTGGACAGCGACCACTACGCCATGGAGAAGCTGAAGCGGCGCGTGCTGGAGTACCTGGCCGTGCGACAGCTTCGCAGCGCCCTCAAGGGGCCCATCCTGTGCTTTGTGGGGCCGCCGGGGGTGGGCAAGACCAGTGTGGGCCGCTCCATCGCCCGCACGCTGGGCAGGGAGTTCCACCGCATCGCCCTGGGGGGCGTCTGCGACCAGTCCGACATACGCGGCCACAGGTACGGCGCTGCCTCCCGTCGCTGGCATCCTGCCCACTGTCCTGCCTTTGTTTCTCAGTCGCTCTGGCTGAACTGGTCCCATTCTGCCTAGCTGTTATTAATTGTGCTGCACCCCTGTGCCTCTGTGCTACTTTGACAGTAATAAAAGGCTCAGATAGGTTTCTGCTACATTCTTCTCCTGTGGGAGTGGGTTACGATGCTATACCCACGGTCGGTATAGTGATTTCTCCATTGGCCCCCTGAGCAAGGCCCTTAATCCTCAGTTGTTCCTGGGGACTATCTGACCCTACTTTCTCAACTTTTTGTTGCTATGGATACCAGTGTCTGCTAAATAACCAACAATATAAGACAGAAGGAGGCCTGATGCTGAAAGAGTGAGGACCAGCATGATGTGAGGCTCCTTACTAGGCCATTAATAATGACTCCTCATTTTCCTTGGGCCAGATAGCACCGGGGAACTCAAGTGTCATTGGCTGGGAAAGATGTTAGGAGTCAGGGGACAGAATAAGGGGAGGGGTAGCTGTTCCCTGCCCAGTCAGATGTAAATTAAACGTCCTGCAAGGTCATGATGTTATGGCTGAAGGTATAATCATTCTGTAGCAGCACTTCTGTTTCAAGATGAAAGTTGTTAGTCAATCGGTCCATCTGTCTGGGTCAAAAGGCCAGATATGCAGGTACCCCAGCACTGTGCACCTAGCTGCCCCCCCCCCCCCCCCCCCCCCCCCGAAAAACAGGCCAGGGGCACAGTGTGGATGGGGTCAGAGAAATGAAGGATCACACGCTGACCTGAGATGTAGGTCGCAATCTGAGAAGGAAAATGAGTCATTATTAATGACCTAATAAGGAGCGTGTCGCCACGGAGACCGTGATGGAGTGATGTGCTGGTATTGCACAGGACCCTGAAGCCTTAAAGGTGCCTGTACTCTTTGGTTACATGCACGTTCATCATACCTGGCTTTCAGGTTTGTTACCCCCTTGAAAGCTGTTGGAGTTTGTGTGTGAAATTGGTCAATTACCTGAAATTACTTAACAATACGCTGTATGTGGAGTCAAATCCTTATGCTGATCTTTATTGCTCCCTAATTATTTACTGAGAATTTATGTGAGCTGTAGCCAGAGGTGGAAAGTTCAGGTCCAGAAAGCACAAATCCAGACCAGGGTTTTGTTTCAACCAACCAGTTGAGTACTCTGTGACTGTGACTCTTTATGCTAAACTAGTCGGTTGAAATAAAACCTTGCTCTGGATTTGTACTTTCTGGACCTGAACTTTCCACCTCTGACTGTAGTCTTTACCCCCTGAGTCCCGACAGACTATCAGGGAAAAAGCTGCATGAACTCCCCTGATTCTACCATGTCCTCCCAACCACAGACGCACCTACGTGGGCAGCATGCCCGGCCGTATTATCAACGGGTTGAAGGCCGTGGGGGTAAACAACCCAGTGTTCCTGCTGGACGAGGTGGACAAGCTGAGCAAGAGCCTGCAGGGAGACCCTGCCGCCGCCCTGCTGGAGGTGAGCTGAAAAACACCCGAGATGTTTAAGATGGAAGAAGGGGTCTGGGGCACGTAGAATGCTGATAATGAGGCTTCAGTGATGGATAAAGAACTCTCAGCTGCGCTTGTAACTGTGTGATCAAGGGGAGGTGAGGATGCAGACCTGATTAACTAACTAGGCTATCAAAGAAGGTCAGACCGCAGCAACAGATACTGACCTTCTAGGTTTTACGATGTAGGGCAACTGCAGAGGCGGGGAGATCAGGTGACGTCTTGGGTGTCTGGGTTTTTGAGTTGAAAGGTTGCATGCATGTTCTATTGGCAGGCAAAACTTACCCAAATACTGTAAACTGCATAAAGAAACCGGGGTTTGCATGACGGGGAAAAATCATGACGTCTGGCCAGTGTTGGGGAAGTTAAGTTCAGGTCCAGAAAAGAGTCACAGTCACTGAGTACTCAGCTGGCTGGTTGGAACAAAACCTTGGTCTGGATTTGTGCTTTCTGGACCTGAACTTTACACCTCTGTCCATGATGAGTTACTTCTCCAACACTAGACCGTCTGGCTCACAGACCTCAGCACCTCGTATCGCCTCGGTCTTGCATCAGTCTTTCTGCTATTTCCTGGAGGGGAGCCAAACATCTGGGGTGAGATGAAGGGGACCGAGAATGCGAGGGTGTAGCCAGGTGGCGCTGTGGGTGTCAGGAGATACCCGAGTGCTCGTGTTTACCTCTGCTAACAGTGCAGGTAGACGGATACCTCAGCATAGTGATTTACCTGAATGATAGCTGTGGAGATGTTATCTCTTTGTACAGACAATGAAGCCAATGGGCGAAAACTTGCTGATGTGGGCTCTGTACTGTATCTTTGCTTATCCAGACAGTATATACCCCCCCCCCCCCCCCCCCCCCC